GGGGGTGGGGGGGGGGGGGGGGGGGGGGGGGGGGGGGAGTGGGGGGTAAGAGAGACAGAAGGGGAGAAAGGAGAATGCAAGCTTTGCTGAGGACAGTGAGAAAGAGAAAGGACACTCCATCAGAAGTTAGCGGGGGGGATATGCAAAAATTTAGCACGCACTGGCTCTAACTTGTATACAAGTCACACACTGACATTCAATGTAGTGGTTAGAGATTGTACTATAAGTGTATGTTGCAAAACAAGGAAATGGCTCATTGAGAATAATACCTACCGTGTAGGACTCCACCAACACAGTTGTTTCCAGCGCCAGTTTCTGCTCCTGCTCAATGTTATATCCGACATAACACAGCTTCTCCTTCATCATACGAACCGTTTCAAAATCAGCTGAGTGGTTGAAAGCATAACCTCGCAGGAGAAGCAGCTGGAAGGTTCAAACACCATTAAAACACTGGACAACATAATCACAGAAAAGCAACAGATACAAGCAAAACTCCAAAGCCAGATGATAATGACTTCACAGCAGCCAGCAGGATCAGCAGCCAATATGAAACATTTGTAAATTCAAGCAACTACATAAGCTGGTGTCCTGTATGCTTCTTAAAAATTATGTAAATCTCATCAAATGCTAAAAATACACTACACATTTGTTGAGACAAAACCTTTTGAAGCTCAGGTCTATTAAGTGACTCAATTCTCAAACGCATTAAATGAGTTTCAGTGAAAGTGAAAAATTTAACCATGACCAAAGCTCATTGATAACAAGTGACATCTTTACAGCAGTAAGCACATCCTCAAATCTTCAGCTCAGCAATTCACAACGAAGAACACCAACTACAGGTGAAGGATTTTGTAGCCAATTGTTTTTCAAAAGAAGGTTCTGTTGTCCAACATGAACCAATTTGCACACAGCAAGGCCCCAAAGCAGTCAGTGAACAATCCGAGCAGAGATACTGGCCAAGGAGAAAAATCCCTACTCTTCTCTCCCCATGCCAACACCATCCCCCACCCCCTCCCCCAACATCAGTCTGCCATGGATTCAACATGTACATACATCAATTACACCATTGCTGACTCCTGTTTAGACCTTCATTTGCTGCAGAACTGAAGTTAAACACTCTCACCAGACCTGTTGAGGTTTTCCACCACACCATTTTTACCTCAGACCTCCAGCATCTGCAGCGTTTTGCCTTTATTTTAGTGCCAAAGGAAATATTGTTTCATAAAGGAAGGGATTGTTCTATCAACAAAGGGCAAGTTGTCTGTCAATAAGTTTTAATCAAACACATCCTGTTCAGCAAATCTTATTGCAATGTCAGGCAGCACAGCTATGCCTTAACAAATTCAGTTCAGCAAATGTACAATCAATTAATCACACCATTGCCAAGTCTAAGTGGGATTGACGTTGCTAATGGCTGAAGTCAGTGACCCCATAATTTCTTCTGCCCTGTTGCAACAGTCGTCCATCAAAACTCTAACAGGTCCACAGAAGAATCTGTTTTTCAAGAAAAGAGCAACATTTCTGGATTAGGAGCAAGTTACTGCAGATGCTGGAATCTAAACTGAAAACAAATGCTGGAGATCACAGCAGGTCAGGCAGCAGCCATGGAGAAACAGCAAGCTTATGTTTTGAGTTTAGATGACTCGTCATCAGAGCTGAAGTGAAGTGTGGGTAGGGACAGCATTTATGCTGTAGTTTGAGGGTGGTGTGGGGGTAGTGGGTGGAGACACAATGTTGATAGTTCAGATTAAGTGATTGGAATGTAAAATCTGAACTATCTTCTCTCCACCAGCACACTACATCCACTAACCCCCCACACCCTCCCCCAACTTTAACATAAACGCTGCCCCCTCCACACACCACTTCAACTCTGAAGTGTCATCCAAACTCGCTCTCTCTCCACGAACATTTCTGCAGTACCACGTACTGCCACCAGGTGGCACTGCAGTGCCACCTAGTGGTGGAATTGAGAACTGCAGAAGACATTTAGCAAAGCTGAGAAAGAAGAACCTCTACACTACACCTCTAAAAGCCAAGGCAAAACAGGCATTAAAACGATGACCGGGGCTCCTAGGGCTTGTACCAGGGAGCAGCAATGGTCAATAGAGGGCCAACATGATCCACCCCCAGAACTCTTGGAAAAACACCTCATTGGAAAACAAGCCCAGAGAAACTAAAACCAGTTAGTATTCAGTGATAGTAGGAACTGCAGATGCTGGAGAATCTG